CCGAATGGTTACCGTAGTTCTCGCTCATTAAGTTTAAAAGCATTTCTTGAATTCTAATTTCTAGTATCCGAGTTGTTACAGTAACTTTCAGAGCGATTTGGACGGATCTGAATTAGACGGTTTTTTTCTCGCCGAATTCGTTTACAGTTTTGAGGATTGCCCTGGTCCTGAATGAGTTTTAATGTAAATTGAAAGCAGTAGTACTTTGTAGAAGTTCGGGAAAAACGAGTTTTTTTGGCTCCGAGCAGTTACTCCTTTCATTTCACGCGCTCTTGATTTTTTTTTTCGGAGTTTCAACCACAAGCAGCCCATATGTAGTGCAGAATATGTGTGCTTGCGAATTAAAAAATTACTTTGACAGGTATCCGAAATGGATGCACACATTTGAAAATCAACTTTCACTGGATTTTCGAACGAAACAGGACAACGCCTTATTGCTGTATGCAGATGATGGAGGTGTACAGGGAAATTTTTATTCACTGACAATTGCTAATGGGAGGTTGCAGTTGGATTTCAGGTCAAATTAACATTCTTTTGACTTCTGGAAGTTTCTTCTTATTCGCATATTGCTCTTTTTTTTACTTCTACCATAAAGTGTGATCTTGAGTGCGTATATGGTAAAGGTAGGTCTGAGTATCGCAAGAGAGAGAGCTGCAATTCAGACTCATAGTCGTTTCTACTAAACTCACAACATGCTTCCCAGTCAAGCTTAGGCTATTCGGATCGCGGTCATATCGCAAAAGATAAGAGTTATGGGGACTAGACTATGCGGTTTAAATTAACCGGAAAGGCCTAGTTTAGTTAGCTGTGGTCGTATATTAGTAACATTGGGCATCCCGCGCTGAGTCGCCGCGAAAATTCTGGTGGTCACCTTAATGTTTGATAAATGGTTGGAATCTTGATAATTTATGAAAACTAGAAATAATTGTAACGTTTTGGCTCCGAGGCACACGGAGTAAGAGCGTTGACACATTTTTCCATCTGCCAGCTGTTCCCCTGGGACCGAATCTGTACGTTCATTCCTCCAGCACTTTTTTTGCAGAGTTGTTTTCGCTTGATTTCTTTGCTTATTTCATGAGACTGCATTGAGTCTCAATCCGAACTTGCTTCCTGGAATACGTCAAGAGTGGTATGTTGTAGGCTAGGCGACGAGTCAAACGATCTGTCCTCTGAAAGGCCTGTCATAACGATGCGACTCAACGATATTGTGGTGAGCGACTATCGCTGGCATCGGTTAACGCTGTTTCAGGTTACTTTTTGTTCAGCCTAAAGGCCTGAAGAAGTCTTCCATTAATTAACCGGACTTATCAGCTGACAACTGTCAGGTTTGCTTATATGGAAAAGGGCGCATTGTCAGATTCTGCTTTTGTAATTTTTTTGCTTTCATTACTGAGCAACTTTCCTGGACTAACATGAGGCAAATGAAAAAATGCAATCATTTTTGGGGAATGTAGCAGCTGTCTTGAAGTTTGGTTATTTGATGCGCCTGCACAGACCGCCCGTGCCTACACAGAAGTTTCAATTTTCTAGCTTTTCTAGTTCTCGACTTGAAGGTAAATGTCAAAAAGTGCGAAAGCACGGACGCCCTCTTCCTGCCAGTATGCGTTTTTGCATTTGCATAATATAATAAAAACTAAGAAATGCAATTCTTCGCGCTGGGGACCATCCCCTACAATATGTGTTCTTCAGCGCATTGTATATGGAAAAAAAATTTTTTTGATAATTCTAGGAAAAATTTCTGCATAACTTTGATTTTGAGAACCTTTTGAAGGTCCATAGAGCAGATGTGCACCATTGATACACGAGACTAATTGTGCCTACTGAAGAATACTCAGGTACATGTGAAGGTAATACAAAGAAAACTTTTAGGCTTGGGAAAATGTAAAGCTACAACTGGATGATGCTGTTCTTTTCAAGATCCTTAATCAGCACAGCTTCGTATTTGGGAATCTAAAGACAAGTTCTGATATTTTTATTGGCGGTGTTCCAAAGGTCAGTGAACTTCTAAAAGATAAAGAATCTAGAAACTTTAACAAGCAGCATTTTATGCATTCTGATTTTTTTCTCATCTCTTCTAGTAATGTGCCTGATAATGTTTCAGGACATTCATTTGTTGGGAGTGATGAGTTCACCGTTAAAGCGACACACCAGAACGTTTGCTGGGGGTGTGAAGAATTTGTTATACAGAATGTATCCTCAAGGTCATTCATAAACTCTTTCACTCCCTTGTTTTTATACCAGCTACCTTATGCAGTCATTTTCCGCTTTTCAAAAAATTACTAAAATTGGTTTTCCTTTTGTGAAATGGTACGGCTAGGAAGAAACCTTCTTTGGGACCAAAAGCTGTTGATTTTGAGCGACTGGAATAAAGATCCGGGTAATTAAGAAGTCGTCAAATTTACTCAAGGAAAAATGGAAGCTGCCTTCGTGAGTAGGTGGACCTGTACCAATATGGGTCAAGGAATACTTAAATTTAAGTAATAAGATGACTTTGAAAAGCTACGGAAAAGTAAGGAGGAGTATTATTTCCTTTCTTTCGTTTAATCCGAAATGATATGTCAAACTGAAAATTGCTTCTGAGCTGCTCCTCGAACTCCATATATGCAACTTTAACTGTCAAGTATCCTTGAAATCTGTTATCCTTCAGATTTTTAGGCGTGACTTCACCGCAACTTATCGAAAGCGTAGGCATGAGACAGTCGGATGAGGATTACTGCAAGCCAACAAATATCGCCGGCACAGAAGATCATTTCTGCAGGAATAGCGGGATTTGCTATAGTACAAACGAAGGTCCCAAATGTGATTGCTCATTCACCGACTTCCAAGGAAGACGCTGCGAGCAGCGTTCGCTTTTTTCGTTTTCTAATATGTATTGCTTGCTAAATTGGCTAGAAATCAAAGTTAAAAGAGATTTAGGTAATATTTCGCTCAGAATTAGTGGGACTTATCTGTGTGCACTGGCCGTTTCAGATGAAATTCTGACTACAGTATTTATGTGGTAGATTACTACTGTAAGAAAACATTGCTGACTTTCTGGATCTCAAGCGTTAGACATTCTTCATCGCTGACTTTCTGGATCAAACACTGAACCTGTGTAAAATAAGCCAACAGT